CCTAACCTGTTTGGCTCAGTGGCTTGAGTGTTGACTCAAGGGTTGCCAGGTTTGATTCTGGTCAAGGCCATGTACCTTGGTTATGGGCACATCCCCAGTAAGGGGCCTGCAAAACATATATGTTTCTCTCTCATCAATGTTTCTAACTCTCTATCCCTCTTCCTTCCTCTCTGGAAAAAAATCAATAAAAAATATTTTTTAAAATATTTGCTATTTGTTCGGGGGTTATTTTATTGTTTAAATTCATGCTCCTGTCCCTCCCCACCCTTCCCCCCCACCCCCCTTCACTATTGAATGTGCCTGGTTATATAGCAGAGGGGCTGTGCACGTTTGTTGATTCTCTTCAATCTCTTGGCTGGCTCACCCACCCGATCTGTGAAAATGAAGAGGTGAAGCCCTCCCCTCCGCTGTGGGTCCCTCCCCTCCGCTGTGGGTCCTTGCCCAGAGAAACAACCCCTCCTCCCTCTTTGTACCAAGGTCTTCTTGGCTCTGAAAGCAGGATGGGGAGGGACAGGATGCAGATTTTATTTGTCTTTGCAAACCGTCTTCCTTCATGGACTTGTTCATCGGAGGAGTATCTTAGATGCAGTTGAGTTGCTTTATTTGGGGGTTGGTTGCTGGGAGCCAAAAGATACTGCTGGCATTTCCTGGGCATCCAAGCCCTGTCCTCCTCGTCACAAGAAAGTCTCCCTCATAGCCAGGGTTGTGGTGCCGCCAGCATTGGTCTCTCCCCAGGGGTTCAAGCAAACTAACCCCAACTCTCCCCACAGTGTCCTGCTTCCTGCCCACACGAGGGCGCTCACTCCACACCCCAAATAACCGGCCACTGAGGACCAGGAGGTACTTTTCCAAAGGCGGTTGAATAGATAGAGCCAAGGCGTGGACATGGCTGGGCAGACCAGGCGCTCAGGCACAGGGTCCCTTCCTGTTGTCCAACCAAGCAAGTTTTTATTCCCTGGGGGCAGAGACAACTAGAGAGGGAGGGACTCCCAAAGGTGATGCCCCCAGCCTCCTCAGGACTGTCCACTCACCCCCACCCCATGGAGGAAAAAGACCCACTTCCCCAAAGTTGGGCCTTCAGGAAAGTGGGGAGGTGAATCAGAGGGGCCTGGAGGGGACAGAACTGGGACAATCGCTCCACTGCCCTGAGACACAGTTTACCCCTTGGCCCTCACTTCCACTTGCTGCCTGAATACACTCAGGCAAACAATGGACTCAAACAGTGAGTCACCCTTACTGCTGGGGCTCCAGAGTCTTGGCTCCGGGGAATAACTGGGGTGGTTCCTTTTGCTGAGGCTGCAGGGATGGGCGGGGCTCAATATTGACAGAAAGGCTTGAAGCTGTAGTTTGCCCAGCCCCAGGGACCCCCACCCCGACCCATGGGGTGTGAGTACCCCAAGATTCACGTGTTCGTGCAGCTGCCAGCTCCTCAGACCACCCCAGCACACAGAACCCTGTCTCCGAATGCAGGGACAGACTCTTCACGCCTGCCCTCCACCTTAGACCAGGGCCTGGGCAGCTGCAGTGAGTTTAGTCCTCCTCAGTGGTCTCAGACAGAACTCTTCTGGGCCAGGCCAGATGTACCCCCTGGACCCCCCGCTTCGCTGCGGTGAGAAAGTGGACTTGGACTTGCCACAGCCCAGGGCCCTCCTGGCTCTTCCCGGCTCACCGCACCCAGAGCAAAACACGTCTCTAGGAACCCTGCTAGGGCCATCCCTGCCCCACTCTGGACCAGCACAGCCTGGCTCAAGCACCGTTTCCAGGCCCACGCACATGCCAGCACTCTCTCTGCTGGGGACCACTTGAGCGCTTCCTTGAGAGGAGGAAAGCTGGGAGACTTCCGAGCCCAGCTGCATAAAAACAAAGCACGTTTTCCTCTTGAACTTGTCACAAACTCCACCTTGTAAAAAATATTAAATGCAGCTGAAACCGGTTTGGCTCAATGGATAGAGCGTCGGCTTGGGGGCTGAAGGGTCCCGGGTTCGATTCCGGTCAGGGCATGTACCTTGGTTGTGGGCACATCCCCAGTGGGGTGTGTGCAGGAGGCCGCTGATCGATGTTTCTCTCTCATCAATGTTTCTAACTCTCTGTCCCTCTCTCTTCCTCTCTGTAAAAAAAAACCAATAAAACATTTTTTTAAGTATATTAAATGTTGCTTTACTCTAAAGAGAGAAAAAAAAATGGCTTTGTCCAGAGCAGGCATCTTTTCTAATTCACATAAAGGCCCCCTTATGAGCCCGCAGCAGCCTGCACAGTTGGGTCCATTTTATGGGCCTTCCCACCAAGCCCCCTGGCTGGTGAGTCACTGACTGAGTCACCCCCAGAAGTGACTGGACAAGCCCTTAACCAGCTGCTACAGCACCAAGCAGAGGAGGAAAGAGAAATCACTGGGAAGCCAGGACACAGGAGTAGATTTCACACACACACACACACACACACACACACACACACACAAAGGTACCTTCACTTGCCCCATTTATTTATTTTTAATATATTTTTATTGGTTTCAGAGAGGAAGGGGGAGGGAACGAGACATAGAAATATCAAAAATGAGAGAATCATTGATTGATTGATTAATTGGTTGGTTGGTTGGTTACCTCCTACATGTCCCACACTAGGGATCAAGCCCCAAACCCAGGCATATGCCCCATGACCTCCTGGTTCATAGGCCAATGCTCAACCACTGAGCCACACCAGCCGGGCCCGATTTATTTTTAACCACCGAGAACCTCATGACAGAGCATAGCCAAGGCCCCAGGAAAGTGACATATTCCTGGAAGTTCACCACCTGATCCTTGTCCTGGTCCAGGTCGGCCATCAGCATTCCAAATTCAGGCTTCTGCAGCTTCTAACATGTTAGAATGAGGAATCCAGACTATGTGATTACGGGAACCTGGCTCTCTCCCTGTCCCCTCCTAGGCAGCCCTTGCTCATACGAGTGGTTCACGGGGTGGGGCGGGGAGGGGTGGGGTGGGGTGCTTACTTGTCTTCAAAGATAGGAATCCACCTTGGGTTCACCTGGCTTTTCCTCTCCTCTGCTCCTGCCCCTCCCTCAGGAAGAGGGAACGCCAGGCTGAGCGGATCCCCCAGCCCCTCAGGGGAACAGACGGGTGAGCTTGTGAACAAGGGCCCCAGAATGAGGATAAACGTGAGTCAGATGCACGTAGCACTTCCCCCTCTCCGGATCCTCCTGAAGGGCAAGAGGTGGGAAGAGGAGGTCTGGGAGGCCATTCTTCACCTCACCCATGAACAGCTGGTTCTGGATCAAATCTTTCCGCTCCCTCTTGCTCAGGGAGTCCTCGTCACCCTCTCTGCCAGAGGACTTGTGGGAGATGGACACGAGTGGCCTGACCCCAGGAGGCCGCCATGGCTGAGGGCTGGACACAGAGTTGGAGCAGAGGGGCTGGTCAGGGCCATGAGCAGGGCGGCCTTCAACTCACCCACACACCCCAGAGCTCTGTCCCCACTGCCCTCCCCTCCCCTGACTCCCCAGCGGGAGTCACCCAGCCTCTGGCGCACACAGGTGGCATCTGAGGACAATCCAGGCCTAGAAGGGGAGGGAGGGCCAAGAGATCAGTGACCCAAGGGGGACCAAAGCTAAAGAGGAGGGGAGATCCAATGATCCTAAGGAGCACATGGGGCCACAGCTGACCACGGGTTCCAAAAGAAGTAGGGAGCGGAGGCTGCACAGTCTTACAAGGCCCACACACTGCAGCTGACACGCCCAGGCCCGCCCTTCTCACCCCACAAGAGCTTACCTCGGAGCCGCCCCACCGGAAGCCTTAGCCCAGGGCCAAGCCACGCTCCAGACCTCTGCGTCCAGGTCTGTCCTGCCCCACCTGGAGCCCACACAGGGGACCCGGGGCCTCAGGGGACCACTGACCTGGCCAGAACTCACCTTGTAGCTGCAGCCAAGCCGAAGGGAGCCATGGAGGGGATGCATGAGTAGCTGGCTGGCCAGGCACGTGCCACACCCCACCCCACAGTTTGCATGACACCCATCTGGCTCACTACATTTTTCATGCCTCCTACCCGGGGACTGTTCTGGATAGGATAGTAGGGGCGGCAAGCAGGAAGATGGGGGATCCAGGGGAGACCCCTGCTCAGTTTCCTGCCGTGTAACACAGGGGGAAAGAGGTGAATAGCCAGAGAAGAGTGTGCATACATGTGTACGGGAAAGGGTGCCCCCAGAGGATGTTCAGGCTCAAACCTAGGTGAAAGGGGGAGGAGGTGGGGGGAGAAGTAGCCAGTGGTCTATGGGATGTAATTTAAAGAACTTGTACAACACCTATCTGCCTGCAAAGACAAATCCCTACCACCACCCACTCCCGCCTGCCTGGAATCCCACCTGGAGCCTCAGGGTAATGAGCCCAGCCTGGGGACACCATCAGTGACTCACCTTCCTCGGAAAGGTGATGGCGGAGGCGGGGCTTGCTGCCACAAAGGGGGAATAGGGAAGAGAGAAGGGTGCTGCCCAGTTTGCCCTGGGTGTCAGTGTTACAGGGTGGCCTCCCGTGAGCGGGCGACAAGTCAGACTGGCTAGTCCGGCACTGCTCTCAGGAACCACACCCCAGCCACCCCGGGGCCCTCACTCCCAGAGCACTTTCCCCTCCTTCCCCTTCGCTTTCTCTGCCTCTTAGCAGCATCGGGTGGACGGCAAGCAAAAGCCGGGCCCCGCCTCCCCACTTTCCAGAAAGCACAACTAAGCCCTGATGTGAGCTTAGTCACATCCACGGAGAAGAGAGCCAAGGCGGGAAAGGGAGCCCAGACCCTAACCCGCGGGGGCTCTCAGCCACTCAGGGAGAAGCTCTGCTGGCCCCACCCCAGCCCTGGCCACGGGGCACAAAACGTTCAACACCAGCCTGCAGGCACCTGGAACGGAAAATCTTTATTTCCTCCGCTGGACAGGAAGGCTGAGGCGGGTGCACGGGAGGGAGAGGGGCACAGGGGACAGAGTGCCTGTGTGGGGAGCTGCGGGGGCCGGGGCAGGGGCTGAGCCGCTATTTGCGGTCCTCCAGGAAGAAGTCGTTGTAGGCCATGCACAGCGTGGTCAGGAACACCGCGTACTCCTTGAAGTCGATCTCCTGGTCGCTGTTTTTGTCCAGGCTCTTCATCAGGTCATCGATGCTGCTCTCCTGCATCTTCTGGGGGGGCCCAGGGAGAGGGACTGGTCAGCGCCCCTCTCGGCCCTGCCCCTTTTCCCCCTCCCCCCATGGCACAGTGCCTTCCTTCAGCCTCAGGAGGATCCCCAGCTGAGTCAGCAACACTCTGGGGACCTGAATCCTGAGCTTAAAGTGCAATAGGAAGGCAAGACTGGCCGCCCTTCCCCGCACCACCTTCCTCTGTCCGAACAAATAATCTAGATTTTATCCAGCACCTGAGGATCACACGTGGGGACAGTGTGCCATGGAACATGATCCTGGTCTCTGACTAAGGGAAAGATGAGGATTGACCCATCTCTCCATGTGTTGGAGCTGAGAAGCCACCGTGTCCTTCCCCTGCAAGGACAACGGGCAGGACAGCTGTGTGGAGACCGTGCCTGGCGCCCCTATAATCTCTGTCTGATCCATCCCCTGCCCTCCCAGCCCAGCTCCTGCAGGAGAATGGAAACCGCGCCCTCCGAGGGCACAGGAAGAAAACAGACACCCTGCCCTCCCCTCTCCTCGGCCTTCAGCCCCAGCTTTTCCACGGGAGACGGGACACTGGGACGTGCAGAGACGGAAACAGTCTCTCTGTGATGCAACCCTCGTCCCCAGCCTGGGCTCCTGTTATAGCCAGGCCTCCCCAGGGCCCGTGTCCTCCGGTAATGAGCCCCTGCCGGCCCTGGGCCCCTCCGCCGCCCTCATTAACTCCCGGATGCAGAGAAACTGGCAGGAAGGCCAGAGCTCGGGCCTGTGGCACCCACAGCTGCTTCAGTCCCCTGCCCGCAGGGGCACACTCAGGGGAGCGTCTCAGGATGTGACAGGAGAGGCACCCAGGCTGGGTTTTAAAGGAAAAGGGGCGAGTGAGACACAGACCTGGGAACCCAGCTCAGCCACTATTGAGCTGGGTATTCCTAGACAAGTCATATAATGTACCTGAGCCTCGGTTTTTATTTCTTTTACTGTCAAATAATATTATAACTACCTCGTGGGCCTTCCCCTCCACCAGTCACTTCCTTTCCACCTTCTGTGTCTGCTGAGAATCAGTTCTGCCTCGTTCCTCCCCTGTGCTCACAGACTAAGAGAAGGATCCTTTGGGCTCCTATGTCAGCACCAGCGGAGAGCTCTGCATGTGGGGGCTCTGCCCTGGAGCTGTGTGCACCCCACCTAGACCCCTGGGTCCCCCATCCCTTATGACACCCCACTTAGGCTCTGCCACAGCTGTGTGGGCCCGGCCTCCACATCAAAGCTTCCTTGGTTTTGTTCTCTAAACCCTCACACCAACTTCCTTCTTACCACTGAAGCATGACTCATCCCTCAGCACAAAGGTTTCGAGTTCTGTTGGCCCAACATGTCCACCCTCTGCCTTTGGACTCTGTTCCTTCAGCCATCCTGCTCCTGGCTGAGGCTAGAGTACCCTGAGCCTAGGTGTGTGCCCCCTCACTCTGGGTCTGTAGAGGCAGGGTGGGTCTCCCACCTCCCCTGGGACCCCCTGATAGTAATATCAGTGCTTCCTATCCCCCCCTCCCCTCCTATCATAGCCTCTGGGAGCACTTGAATTTTGGGGAGGGGGGAAGGGGACAGCCACCTACCTCACCAAGACACAGCTCCTTCTTGATCAGCTCCTTTAGTTCCCTCCTACTTAGGGTTAGCTTACTGCCCTCTCTCCCTGAATATTTGTGGAAAGTGGTGACCATAGTGGTCAGGGCCTTCTCAAGAGGGGTCTCCATGATGGTGTGCAGCTCTGGAGGCAGAAGAGAGGAGACAGATCACAAGCCAGACCTTCTGCTGGCCCCTATCAGTAGCCCAGTTCCCAGACCGCTCTCTCAAGGTCCAGAGACTGGAATCCATGATGAGACCAAAATCCACCAACAGGTGGTCCCAAATGTGTCAAGTCAGGTTCTAGTGAGACCCAAAGCTCACTTGGAACAGCCAAAGTGGGGAGAGTGACCATCCCCCAAAGGAGTCTGCACCCTGACCTGCTTGGGGATGTTGAAAAGGGGTTCTAGAGGCAGGGGGATGACAAGATGACCTCCCCAGAAGAAGAAGTGGTGAGAGATGATGGAGCAGATAAGGGGCCAGGATTTTCTCCCTGCCCCCTCCAGCCTGAGCATTTGTTTTCAGAGATAATCCTCACCCAGTCCCCCTCCTTTGCCTGGCTGCCTGAATCTCCTGCTATTGGGAAGTGTCCCATTATGGGAGTGGGGAATCGGTCAGTGAGAGAGTCCAGGGGTTGGAGGGAGCTCAGGCTGGAACTGGGAGACAGGCCTCAACAGGAAATGGAACAGAGGTGATTGGACTTGTCCAGCTGGTCTCCAGCCTCTGGCCCAGCGACTGACTGCACATGCACACTGGCCACAAGGCAGTGAGAGGGTTGGGCTTATCAAAATCTCCAGGTTCGCCCAGCAGGTGTGGCTCAGTTACTGAGCATCAACCTATGAACCAGGAGGTCGTGGTTCAATTCTGGTCAAGGGCACATGCCCGAGTTGCAGGCTGGGTCCCCACTGTGGGGCGTGCAGGAGGCAGCCTATCGATGGTTCTCTCTCATCATTGATGTTTCTATCTCTCCCTCTCCCTTCCTCTCTGAAACCAATAAAAAACATATTTAAAAAATAAGTAAATAAAATATCCAGGACCATTCAGAGAGCTAGATCCAGAGGTTGCATTGGATGGGGCCCTCTCGTCCACCCGTATAGTAGCATCCCCCCCAGGAAAGAGGCAGCCGGAGTTCCTGTGACTCAGACTTGAAAACCACTTCCCCTTTCAAGAGGAAAGAGGCAACACCCAAGGAACTTGGAGGTTGCAGGTGAATCTGTGCAGAGTGCAGAGCAAGCAGGAAGAAGCTGCTGGCTCTCACCTTCAGCCCAAAAACCACCCAGCAATTCTTGAACTGGGCCTGTCGGTCACCTCCCATCTCCCAAAAACCTCAGCTTCTCCCCATCTCCAGGAGACTCAGCCCGGACTGCAGTGGAGACAACGGCCTCTGGGCCATAGCAGCAACATCCTACCTAGTTCTATCCCCGCCTCCACCCCCGGAGCCTCCTCTCAGGAAATGTTGAAAGCTGCCCTGAACACATGCCCACTCCCTGGGCCTGGCCTCCCTTGGTGGAGGTCACCACGGCAGGTCACTCTCTGCCCAGCCTCATTACTCCCTCACCTCGTAGATGACCAGGGAGATGAGAAGGAAGGACTCACCGAGGAGCAGGAATCCAGAGAACCCACGCAGCAGAAGCAGGCTCCCTCCCACGGCTCTCTGCCTTTATTCCCTCTCTCCCGTCCCCAGGAAATCAGGGGAGGGACAGGGCCAATGAGAAGGGGCCAGGGACTTGAGTGAGACCCAGGTCAGAGCCTCCTGGGACAGGCCTGTGAGAAATTCCCTCTGCCAATCTCACCTTCCTATTTCCAAACAGAGGGGACGGGGCACACCGAGCCTGCAGTGGCATGCATATCTTCAGCCCCAGAAACTTTGTGTTCCCAACCAAAACCCAGAATTCTAGAGGGTCAACAGGGCAGAAGAGAAGCCAGGCTGTCCTAGAAAGAAGACCCAAGCGGTGGGGGTTAAACGTAGGGTATCTCCCAAGCCCAGGCCACTGTCCACTTGGGCCTTCCCACCCCCCCAAGAGAAGGTAGACATGGGAATTAGTAGGGGGAGATGTTTCTTGCCAAAGGTATGATCCAGGTCCTTAGCTACTATGGAGACTAACGTTTTTAAAGGGCTTTCAAATGAATGTTTTCTTCTAACCCTCACTCAACTTCATAGGGAAAGAATTGCCAGAGACTCTTGGAGTAGAGGACTGAGAATCAGGGATTGGGGAGGGGATCCAGGGAAGGGTGGGTCCTGGTGATCAGGCAGAAGTTTCAATTGTGGGGAGCAGGTTCCAGGTGCAATAATGAATGGGATAGGGGGTCAGAGAGAGTTGCCTTAATTTTCTTCCATCAACAGTCCCGAGTCTGAGAACAGAACCAAGTTAGGGGCTTAGCACCTATGGCTGACGCAGCCCCACCCTAACTTGCCTGGCTCTTCCCTGCTGGCCCCACTCCACCGCCACCCTTAGCTGGCAGGGCTAGAGAGGCAGTAGGGACTGGTTGCCTGGCAACCGGAGTTTCCGAAGTGGAGAGTGAAGCAGAAGGAGGTTCCGGAGGCAGGCATCCCGAGGATGATGGGCGGACTTGGGCAGGGTAGAGGGCAGAGAGAGGAGGAGGAAGAGGCAAATGTTTTTGTGGACTCAAAGTCCTACCAAAATCTCTAGAGTCACACTTGGAGGGAAAATCTGAGTCATCTACCCCATTCTTCTGAAACTTGAGAAGAAAGACACAATGTGCTGAGGAGAAAAGGGGAAAGCTTGAAAGATCCAGAAACCAAACCCTCCCTGCTTCTGGACTGCCCTCTACTCAGCTGTTTCTTAAAGGTCCCCATTCCACCCAGGTGTGACCTGGAAAGCTAAACTCGGTCCCACCCACTGGAGGCTGTAGCCACCGGCTGTTACCCCAAAGAAAAGCAACACCACGCCTGACATTGTAAACCTCAATTTTATTTATCAGATTATATGCCTGGCATTTTGTCTTCAGAATTGTGGTCACCTCCCCCTGTCTCTCTTGCTCCCACTCCAGCCACTGTCCTCCACACGTCCCTTCCGGTCCTTTGTCCTTCTCTAAAGGACCATGATTCCTAACTAATAACAGATCTCACTCATCCCAGGGCCAGAGGTTAGAAAAGAACAATATTTTCTTTATTGCCTCCACATGCCTCTCCGATCTGACCATGTCCAGGAAGGACTCATGCATCCCTGAGGGTTTAGGCCATACACGGGAAGGTGGTGGCAGCACAGGGCCTGGGCGGTAAGTGTGGTTAGGACTCAGCTCTTTTCCACATCCCACACCAGCCTCTTCCACTGGCCTCCTCATGACTCAGCCCATTCTCCCACCTCCCCCTGCCCCCCACCACTCCCTCTAACCCCCACACTCCTCACCCCCCACCCCAGCACACAAATTCCATCCCAGACACAAACCAAGAGCAGATGTGACCTTCAACCCAACCCAGCCTCAGTCAGAGGTCCGGACAGAGACACTGTTGGAGGGACAGGAGGGGTGAGTGCCCGCGCTGAGATCCCACAGCTGAGACATTCTAAGCCTCTGGGGGCCCCTTGATCTGCCTTTGGTCCCATCAGAGTCAACACTGTCACACACACACACACACACACACACACACACACGCACAGAGTCACCCCACATCCCTCCCTCGCCTCCATTAGTCTTCCCTCCACAAAACGGCAGCTCAACTCCCAGTGCTCCCCACCCCCACGTCCCCCCATATTGCTCGGCCCCCACCCCATACCCCCAGCCTCTTTCAGAACATCAGCCTCGTAGTTTCCAATAATCTTTATTGAATCTGCTCAGCATCCTACACGTGTCTGGAGGAGCCAGGGTGAGGCTTTGTGCCCACTGCCCACAGGGAAGACCCTACCGGGCAGGGCCCCCCCCACACACACACACACACCCATCTGAGGAGCCTCATTTCTTCCGGGGTTGCTTGTCGGGGAAGCCCTCGAAGAACTCGTTGCACATCATGGCGATGCAGGCGAGGAAGACGGAGTACTCCTGGAAGTCCACCTCGTTGTCCTTGTTGTTGTCCAGATTGCTCATCAGCTTCTGGAATGCTGCTTCATCTGTCTTTTTCTGCGGGGGGAAGAGGCTCCAGGTAGACACCAGCCGCCCCGGGGACAGAGCCATGACTAGACCAGGTATCCACCCGCAGAGGGGGCTTAGGAGGGCCCAACCACTCGGGGGGGGGGGGGGGGAGGTTGCAGTGTTGGAACTCCAACAGGCTCAGCTAGGCTGGGGGGAGGGGGGGAGCTACCAGCAGGTGAGGAAATCTGAGAACCAGAATGCAACTGGAAAAGAGGACCACATCTTCCCCTAAGGACTTTTTAAGAATCCAATTAGACAATGGTCGTGAAAGTAATATATAAACTGCATCAAGTTTGATACAGATGGGAGCTGTGCCTGATCAGGGGAAATAGGTGTGTCGGTGTCTCTGTAACTGTGTCTTCTAAAAGCCTAATAGAAACTCAAAAATTGTTTGTTTGTTTGTTTGTTTGTTTGTTTTTCTTGTGGGTTTTTGATGCGCTGTTCCTGGAACTACTGCAAGACCGAGTCGATGCGAGAAATGGACGGAGCAAGCTCCTATTCCATCTCCCTGCTCCAAAAGTCCACTTAATATATTGTCCTCGGATAGAGGACGTATCAGGTATTAAACTGATAAGGACAGATACTACACTTGATCTTAGCCAAAAGGCCGAGAAGCGATCAAAAATTGTGTTTTACTGGGAGTGATGGCGGGTCGTCCATAGAGCTCAGCTGTGCACTCTGACCCCCCGGGGAAGTTCCTTAGCCTCTCTGAGCGTTTCAGGTGTCGCGCTTCCATGTAAAGCCCCGTGCCAGTTATCTGGCCGGTAACCAACCTGCTCATCCTCAGCCACCTTTCTGCTGGGCGCCAGGATGCGAATGGTGAGTGCTCACTCCATTTCCAACCCAGGCAGCCAGAGCACGCTTCCCCACCCGGTGACAGAGGCCAGTGCGGGAGCCACTGCTCTGAAGAAAGACCGGTGCCTCCCGGTCCTAACCCCTCCCCTGTGGGGAACGCCCCAGAGGGGGGCTCATTCCCAGGCAGTAGGCACTCACCCCCAAGAAGCTGGGCAGCTCCCGGGTCAGCAGCTCCTTTAGCTCAGACTTGTTGAGCTTGAACTTGTCACCCTCCTTGCCGGAGTACTTGTGGAAGGTGGACACCATCGCATCCAGGGCCTTTTCCAGGGGGGTCGTCATGGTGGCAGTCGAGATCTGGGGGGGAAGTCACAGAGGCACCCTTATCTTCCCCACCCTTCCCCAGCTATGTGACTAGAATGCCCCATCCCACTCCCATCAACTCAAGGAGCTCTGGGTGACATTCTGCTCCCACCACGGGGAGGGTGTGCACAGTGGGAAATGTGAGCTTGGGCAGCAGTCACTGCACGGCCCACTGCGCAGACTCTGAACTTTAGGCAGCAAGCGCTCGGGGCCTCACTGCGTCCATTCTATCCCACAGCTCAGCCCACACAGCACGCCCAGCTCATTCTTCTCCCTCCCCGTGTTGGGCGAGGCCGCTGGAGGCCTGCCCAGGACTCTGTAGCGGAAAACACCAGCGGTCTAGCACGGGGAGGGGCAGAGGGAAGTGGCAGAGGCAGGGATGCAGGGGAGACCAAGCTCACTTGGGCTGGGCTGCTGGGTGCTGGGCAGAGGCTCGGGGATACCGCCAGGCAAAAGCCCATGGTGGCCCTTTGCCTTCACTTGGCTTCCCACACCAGAGCATGCACACACAGGGTGTGCACGCCAGCAAACATAAGCCAAGGTACACACCCACAGATTACACGCACACCAAGCATTCTGCAGCAATAAAGCATACTACAGCTTAAACCCAGCCACATTTCTCTTTGTTTTCATTCTCTTGCACATGTACAGGCTTTGCGCGTGCACACACACACACACACACACACACACACGCATCCCACCCCAGAGCCTCCACATTGGGATCTCACATCTGCACCCATATAGCACATCTGGTCCGCACCAGCCTCCCTGGTTCCTGCCCTGAGCATCAGCCTGACACCCCTTGCATGCCAGTCAGGCAACCACAACTCACCAGTTGAAGAGAGGAGAGGCACTGAAGAGAGAAGGTTGGGGAGACAGGAAGAGTGGGGAAAGCCCAGCGGTCTGACCTATTTATACCCCAGCCAGGCCCTGCCCAGGCAGGACGGGGGAGAGAGGGAGACAGCCCTCCCGCCTGGGCCAATGTGGTGCGAGCCAGGGCCCCCTCCGAAAGCCCAGCCTGGAAACGCCACTCCCTGCCCTGAGGAGCCAAAGACAGGCAATGGGGGAGCCTCAGTGAGCACAGGCAATGAGGTGGGCACCCCTCCCCCCACCCCCATGCACACAGCCTGAGTGTTAGGGAGCTGGAGGGAGGCGCAGTCTATGCTTGGGGCGTGGGGGACAGGGAGCAAGTGGTCCCACCCAGCAGCTAGGAAAGGGGATACAGGTATGGCGGGTGATGGCTGGGAAATTGCCCTGGAGATGTGACTGCCCAGCAACTAGTGCAGGGGACCCCGGGCTCAGAGCTGAGGACAGCTGACTCTGTCTTTCTCCCCGCTCCAAAGGACTCTCTGCCATGCTGAGTGAGCCCCAGGGCAGGACCTAGAGGTCTGGGAGAAGGGGCAGGCTAACACCCAAAGGAGGCGCTGGCACCACCCTAGCGTCTCCGTGGAGAAGGGTCCTGGGTGAGGTAGTGATGGAATGGGGAGTGGGCGTCAGGCCTGGGAGTTCAGGGATGGATTAAAGGCACCTGGAGCAGGGGGGGTCAGGAGGGCTTCAGGAGGAGAGTTTAGGGTTGGGTGGGTATTGGGAATGAGAATGGGGTGGAAAATCAGAGGTGAAATGGCACAAATCCATGGCTTTAAGGATCACGGTTAGCCCCTCAGCGTGAGGTATGAATTCAGGGATTGAGTGAGGGTTACAAATTGGGGGAGTTAAGACCTTCAGGTGGTGGTGGCTTCAGGGATGGGGGTCTGCCTCAAGGTCTCCCCTCTCCCCTCCAAAGCAAGGAACCCCTCCCTGGCTTAGCCAACACCCTCATCGGACCTCTGGCACCCTAATCCTATTAGTGCTGCTCTCTGGGCTCCCACAGCCCCAGGCAGGGAACAAACCAGCCCCGCCCCCACAGCTCCACCCTCACTCAGAACATCCTGTCCTGAGGACTGAGATCCATCGGGATTCAGACTGTCCGCTCTCCTTCTTCAACAGCCCAAGGGAGAGAGAGACCCCCACCCCCAACCAGCCTCCCCTGAGCATCATCCTTGTGTAGATCCCCACCCCCTCCTGCTGGACGCTGAGACCATTTTGTTTCTGGCGGGTCTGAAACTGCCCTCCGCAGTCTGTTCAACGGAAAAAGGCAAAGAGGAGCAAAGACGTCAATGGATTCTGCCCTGAGGCCCTCGCTGTCCTCTTAGAAAAACCAAACCAAGCCAAATGACACCAGTTCTTTATTAGGAGTTCGGCAGGCCTGTTCCTGTTGTGGTTTTCATTCAGGCTCACACTCTGCCCAGCCTGGGCAGCCTCAAAGCAGATCCCCACCTCCGCCCGTCTGGGGCCCCTGTAGGGAGGCCGAGGACGGCTGCTCTATGTGTCACCAGTGCTGATCCTGGGCTACGATATCGGGGGCAAATCTAGAAGTCTCCTGATGGAGAGGGTGCAGGAGAGAGGGGAGGAGGGTGTGGGCAGAGATGGAGCAGAGGCTACTGGGAGCAGGGGGGCTCCGGGGAACAGTTCTTGAAGTATTCATGGCAGTAGGTGCAGAGGCAGGCGAGGGAGCGCACGTACTCCACAAAGTCCACCTCGCAGTCCTTGTTGGTGTCCAGAAGACTCATGAACTTATTGTAGTCACACTCCCGCAGCTCCGTCTGTTGGGGAATGGGTGGGGTTGATGGGTGGGGTTGATGGTGGGCAGGTTGAAGAGAGCAGAACATCCCACACACACACACACACACACACACACACACACACACACTGCTTCCCCCCCCCAACTCCCGGATGGTCCCATTTCCACCCACAGCCCTTCTGAGAGCCAGTCTCAGCCTACGTGCCCTGGTAACTCTCCATCCCAATTCCTCTCCCAAATCCTCCTCCTCAGTCATTCACCGAGCACCCGCTATTGCTACTGAGTGCCTCTGTGTGCTAGGCATTCTTCACAGAGCTCACTCCATCCTCCCAGCAGCTGGCATGATGAGGAAACAGATTCCTGGCATGTCAGTTCCCTCCCCAGGACCCCCTCCCCAGCACCCTCTCCCTGAGGTCCGGCCTCCCCGCCCTCCCGCTGGCCTGTGCTCAGAGCCTGTCCCAGCAGTGCTTCCCCCAAGTGCTCACCGGGACCCAGGTGGGCAGCTCCTTCTGCAGCAGCTCCTTGAGCTCAGCCTGGCAGAGCTTGTGCTTGTCCCCACAGCGCCCCGCGTACTCCTGGAAGGTGCACACGATCGCAGCCACCGCCTGCTCCAGAGGCCTCGCCATCCTCACTGTCACAGAACAAGCAGAGGCCTAGGTCACCGCCCTGCGCCTCTGCCCTCCACATTTCCATGACTGCTGCCAGGCCTGTCTTCCTCTCCGCCAGGTTTCTCGCCCCACAAGCCCTCCTTCTCTAAGCAGCCCTCCTGGCCACACCAGTGCCACCTACTGTGCGCCCCCAGCAGAGGTCTCATTTCTCGGGCATCTCTGCCAACCCCACAGGAACGCCCTTCCGACTTCCTGATTCTCTTCGATTATTCTCATCCTGGACACCCAGGGAGGACTCAGCCCACTTGGCACCATCCTGGGACACACAGCCCTTGGCCCTGAAGCCACCTCCCCTTCAAGACCTCAGAGCTTCTGCAGAAACTTGCTCAGGAGACCCTGTCCTCCGGCCCTTGAAGAAGCCGGCATTCTTTGGAAGGGTCAAGTCTGAGAGGGAGCCCCATCCCTCCCCATCCCTCCCCATCCTTCCTCCCCCTGACTCAGGGGAGCTGCATCCAAAGGCAATGCTTCTGGGCTCCCCTTTGCCTCTCACCCTGGATGAGCCATTTACCTGTTTGGATCTCAGGCTTAAACAGGAAGCCAGATCAGGTATTGACTATCTTAAATCTTCCCCATCTGAGGCCATCCCCCTGGCTCCTAGGGCTCTTGAGACAGAAGGCTTGGCATAGGGGTACCTTGTTCTGTCAAAAGGGAATCCCTGCCCAAGCTGGCTTGGCTCAGTGAGTAGAGAGCATCGGCCTGTGCACTGAAGGGGCTCAGGGTCAACTCCGGTGAAGGGTACATGCCCAGGTAGTGGGCTCGATCCCCAGTGTGGGGCATGCAGGAGGCAGCCAGTCAATGATTCTCTCTCATCATTGATGCTTCTCCCACCCTCTCCCTTTTTTTCCCTAATATATATATATATATATATATATATATATATATATATATATATATATATATATATATATTTTTTTTTTTTTTTTTTTTTTTTTTTTTAAGGGAAGCCCTTACTGGAATTTACACACACACACACACACACACACACACACACTCCACTGGCCCCTTTCCCTGCCCTCTGGGGTGCACCTCCGGCCTGGTGAAACCAGAAGGCAGCCAGGAAGGCCAGTGTTGTTTTCATGTGAGCCCAGTGACTCACTCCTGGTTGCCCCAGGGGACCGGAGTCTGGCAGCACTGGAGAGCCAGCGCCAAGCCTCTCCCCCTAGTGACTCCCCCTCTGCTGGGTTATATGGTACAAATGGTCAGCAAACCATGTGTGACTGTAGGGGAGGAAGAGGAAGGGGGTGATGGGGCCGTGCACCCCCCCAAATGTCCAGCTTTTTAAGACAGCCCTGGATCGGAGTGTCTGAGTTCCCAGGAGAGGAAAAGGCTCCAGTCCCAGGGCAAAGAGAGCCCAGAGGTGCTCGGCTGCCCTTCTGGGCTTCTGCCAGCCTGCCTGGCGCCACCACTGTTTTTCCAGAAGCTTGGTGCCTGGAAACTGGAGGGAATCCTCTCTCCCCACGCAGCCTGGCCTGTCTCAACCCATTGGTAGGAAAGAAGGCAGGAGGAGGGAGCTAACTGAAGGCAGCACCTGTGCTTTTAGCTGGAGGCCCCCACCCCAAGGCCAGGCCTCAGCTCTGCACACCCCCTGACCCAAACATCCCAACAGCTAAACAAGGGAAACCCTGCGTCCACCAAACCTGACTTCCCTCGCCTCCTAAGACCCTGCTCTGGATATCCCGCCAGCCCCAACCCAAGACCCTGTAGGCCAGAAGACAGACCCTGAGCTACCCCACGCCCAATCCAGAGCAGGACTCAGCTGGCACTTACCACTGGTGTTGGCGTCTCAAATGTAGGAGCCTATAGGCAGCATACCCCTATTTGTAGTCTGCCAAGGAAGGAAGCAATTATAGGGAGCCCAAGTGGGTCACGCTGAGGGTGCCCTTGGGGGGTCCCCTGCCTCCTTCCCTAGCAGCCTGTATTACAAGCCATCCACCCACCTATCCATGCACACATCAAAGGCCCCGTCTGGGCCTTAGACACCACCCACCTTCATCCTCTCCCCCCCCCCCCCCGCCTCCCTCCCCCTTCAACCGCCAACTGCCCTACCCCAGAGCTGGGAACTAGGGACAGCCTTCAGCCCATCTCCTGTGGTTGGAGGATACAGGGATGGGCTAATCCAGCACATCTATCCCCTATACCTCTCTCTGAATAGGCACCACAGAATACAAAGTGTGAAGACACTCTAGCCTAGAGTAAGTTTATATCCCCAGAGGACCCCTGTGCCAGAGGAGATCTCGGAGCATCTCACCTTCATCATTTACAGGTGAGAAGATGAAGGCATGGGATTCCCACACCTCCACTCCCCCAGCCTGATCTCCAGATTGAGTTTGGAAAGAACATCCATAGGATGTGTCAGAGAGGAAAATTTTTTATTTTACCCTTCTAGGCCCTTTGGCTGGTCTAATAATCAAATTAGCATAAGACAGATTAGCAGGAGAAAAAACTTAATTTTGTACAGGAGGTCAGGCAGGGGGGACTTGCTAGCATAGGCTCTTATGAACTAAGAACCAGGGGTGAGGCTCTGGACTTCAAAGGCGAGAAAGACAATACACACAGAGATGGAAAAACAAACATTTGCTGGGTCACAAAGAGGGAAAGGGACACAGAGAGGACTCTGTCTCCGAGCCCGACTGAGTCTCCTCTCCCAAGCGAGCCCGCATTCTTTGCAGATCGGGCAGCTGATAATGCTCTTGCTGGCCAGGCCCTTTATCTACATTTTTTCAGGCAGCTAAAAGGGATGTTGAAGCTCTTCCTGAGACTTTTGAACCTCGGTTATTTTCAGCTTAAATAATCCACATGCCAGGGAGGTGCATTCTGGGAATACTCATTCCGAACCCCTACAGATGTCTCTGAGGCACATGGGGAAGGCGTGTTGCTCACAGGGACACTTGGAGCAGTCCAGGCTGTTCTCGTGCGCGCGCGCGCACACACGCGCGCACACACACACAGACACACACACACACACACACACCCAGAGCGCTGTGTCTGAATGTGGGCTGCAGACTCCTGCGTGGGCTGCCTGTGGCTAGAGCCCCTTAAGCCTATTTCCTGTCTTCCCCAGCTCCATCCAGCACCCCCTTCCCTCCAGACCCAGGAGGTGGGGTGGGTTTCCTCCGGCTTTTAGCTTAAACATGTGGCCCCCTGGCTCATTGGAGTCCCAGCATGATGGAGAGGTGTCTCCCCTCCTAGAGAAGCCTGAGCTTTTTCTCTGTCTCCTTCACTACACAAACCATCAGAACCAAAGGTTATTTTGGCACAGTTTGGCCAGTGCCTTCAGGGAGCAAGAGGCCCTGGTGCCCTGCTGGCTTCCTGGAGTCTGTTTCCACTTAGATTTTTATTTCTTCATTCCTTACTGCCTTGTCAGCGCTTAAATACTTGAAAAGGATTTTTTTTTAATTCTATGCAGCACTTCTTTGTTGATTTAAGCTGGAGCAGGCACCGGTTACCATAGCACCAGGAATGGAAATCCCTCCCGGAGAGGGTCAGAGGGGCCTCCCCAAGATGAGCCACGGGACCCGTGAATTATTTTGAATTGAGACCCTGTGGGTTCACAGGAAACATTTACCTCTCCCTGAAAGAATTTAAATTAGGGGCTCTGTCCGTAAATAAGAGTTATCTCCAGAAATGACTCGTATGACCTACCTGGACAGCAGGGTAAACATCTCATTACCGAGCACCTGCTCTTCTGATCATCCTGCCAATAACCCTCCCCGCAGAAGCCCCAGGCTCCTGACCTCATCCTTAGCTCAGAATATCGTCCACGCCTCGTTTTAACTTCCTGTCTCTGAAAATTACATGTATGTAGGGCCTCTGACTTTCTCGTGTATATGGATTTTTCATGCATGGCTAGTTTTGTTGGTGGTGGTTACCTGTCTCAGGTCAATTTAATTATTACACCGGCTGGAAGAACCTAGAAGGTAAAGTTCCTCGTCGCCACACTTCATATCCCTTTCCCCTTCCCGCCCTCATCCCTGAGCCTGAGAGACCCCTTCTCATTTCACAGAAAGAGAACCCAAGGCCCAGAGGGTGTGGGAGGCCAGGAGAGGGAATCTCCCTGGTCTCGGAAGAAGCCTTAGTGCTCGTGTGGTAGCCAGAGAAACATTCGTATCTTGAGCTCACCTTAGGCCCACAGCACCCAAACCTTGCCTGTGCTATCCTCTCCTTAAAGACTCAGCCCCTGTGGGTGAGGGGAGTGAGCAACAGGGAGGAAAGAGTGAGCTGTGACGGTCCTGTGTGTGTGTGTGTGTGTGTGTGTGTGTGTGTGTGTGTTTTGTCCTCACCCCTGCGGATATGTTTTTATTGACTTTAGAGAAGAGGGGTGAGGGAAAGAGAGAGAGAAGCTTTGATGTGAGAAACATCAAAAGGTTGCCTTCGGTACACGCCCTGACTGGGAATTGAACCCAGAACCTGGGTATGTATCCTGACAGGGAATCAAACCCTCAGCCCTTCGGTACACAGAACAACCCTCCAACCAACTGAGCCACACCAGAGAGGGCAGCCCTGTTTTATAGGCAAGAAATTATAGGGATTAGGGCCTAGACATGGAAGCCAGAGTGGACCAGCAATTAACTCAGTTCTAGGTCAAGCACTTATTCCCACCGAGGATATCCTTTGCCACCTGCCACCTCCCAGAAGCAGGTCGCCCCCTTGCCTCACCCTCGGCCTCATTTTCCTCGTCTGTCAATGATGCAGGATAATAATGGTGACCATTTCATGGGATTGCTGTGGGGCTTCAATGATGAATCTACACAAAGTTCATAGATATGTAGCTTAGCATGTGGTAAGGGCATAAATGTGAACTGAAAGGTGGTTAACGTGCCCAAGGTCACGTAGCTAATCAGTAGTAGAACTAAGAGCCATTTGTTATTCATTTAAATCTTTAGAAACACCTGTCTGAGGCATTGAGGGTATGGCCATAAACAAAGCAGCAAAAGCCCCGCTCTGTGATGACAATGGAGTGGAGAAAACAGACAATAACAAATGCATGTATGACAGACTGTAAATAGACAGATTAAATGCCAGGGAGAACAATAAGAAGGGCTGAGGGAAAGAAGATGATGGGGGAGGAGGGACTTTATATCTGTGGTCAGAGCACAGCTGGGTCTCCTGGCTCCTGAGTTACATCCTTATTCGGACCTTTTCTGTTTTTTGTTTTGGGGTTTTGTTTTTGCTTGTTTGGTTGGTTAGTTGATTGTTTTTTGTAAGGTTTGTTTTGTTGTTGTTGTTGTTGTTGTTTTTGGACCTTTTCTTTGAGACCCAGGTCAAGTTCCAGCACTGCTCCGTTCTTAACCTCTTCCAGCCCGTCTCTGAAGTGCACAAACTAATGGCACCTCTCATCCAATTGCCAAAGAGTCAACAAGATGGCGTTCGAGCAGGAGCAGCACAAAGTCTGGCCAGAGGGAGTGCTCCCTGAGTGACAGGTGCTCTTCCCTCTTGGTTTCCTCAGCTGTGAAAGGGCCTAATGATAGCTCCTCCCAGGGTTACCATGAGGCTGAACTGACAATGTACACCAGCAGAGCTTGGGAATGGCTGTGAAAATGTTAATTGCCATGATCATGATCCCCTGACCTATATTTACTGGCTCCCTTTCCTGCGGGATATTAGGAAAGTGGGCTATATATATATATATATATATATATATATATATATATTTTTTTTTTTTTTTTTTTTTTTTACAGGGAGGAAGAGAGAGGGATAGAGAGTTAGAAACTTTGATGAGAGAGAATCATCGATCAGCTGCCTCTTGCACACCCCCACTGGGGATGTGCCCACAACCAAGGTACATGCCCCTGACCGGAATCGAACCTGGGACCTTTCAGTCCGCAGGCCAATGCTCTATCCACTGAGCCAAACTGGTTTCGGCACTTCTCACTTTTTATTGCTAGAGTCTGCCTGGCCTGGCCTCCCCAGCACCAGGCACGCAGCTGAGACAGAACAGTGAATGAGGACAAGCAAGTTGTCCCTGAACTGTCTCACTCAGCTCCCCTCCATCTCTGGGGAGCGCTAGTCTGAGCTCCTCTATAAGTGGTTCCCAAGCACCAGAGTTTCCCAGGGAAGTAAGAAAACAATTCAGGAAAGTATTGTCTCTGCTTGTCTACTATTCACCCCCTCTTTCCTTACTTCTAAAAATTCTTTTATTTTTTTCCAAAGTGTGAACATGTTGAGCTAAAAATACTTGGTTGCAGCTGGGGCAAGTCATATTACATAGTGAAGGCCAAAGAGATGTAGGTGGAAATACCTGGGGAGAGTACTTCTTGCATAACAAAAAGGCAAAGGAAAAAACCTTTTGCACCTAATTTTTTCTCTGTCTTCCAGCTTGGAGCATGGATGATGAGACCTGGAGGTATAGCAGCCATATTGTGATCATAACCCAACAAGCATGAGGGGGAAAGCATATATGCTATAGATTACAGGCAAAAAATGAAAAGACACTTGGTTGTCAGACAGGATCTCTGGGATCTTGGAGCCCCTGACCCAATCCTGGACTGCCTACCCAGATTTCTTGTTATGTAGAACAAGTAAAGCCACTATTATTAGTCGGGTTTTCTGCAACTCATCATATATATATGCCTAAGCAACCAGAAAGACCAGTCACTATGACATGCACTGGCCACCAGAGGGCAGTTGCTGCTCCCATCATGAGGCCCTCATCACCAAGGGGCCTGCTGGCCAACCTCCCAGTTCCTCCCACCGACCTCTGGGCTGGGGCTGGGAATCCGTGGTGGGTGGCCTGGGAATCAGTGGTGAGTGGCGGCGGATGCAGGCAGGTGGTTAGGGAAGAAGGCAGGAGGCAGGGAGGCAGGGAACCTGATCTACCCTGATCACTAGCCAGGCCTAGGGACCCCACCCGTGCATGAATTTCGTGTATCCGACCTCTAGTAAATTAATACATAAAAAGCCTAAAACGTTTTTTTAAAGAATGTACCATCTTGGACTGAAAGAGAGCAGAGACACCTCAAAACAAAGAGAATCTTTGAGTCTTAAACCTTCTATGGGCAAGAAGCAAACAGACATTTCTGGTGAAAAAGAGTTAGCTCAGAAAATAAAATTAAGAGCCTAGAGGGTAGAACCAAGAACCATTTATAGGGAGAAGAGCTGAATCACAATCAAGAATCTGGTGACATGTGTTTGACTCAACTTCAGAATTGCTATAGACGCATGAACACTCTGTGCTTCCAATCCATCACCACCCCCTTTTGAAAAGGAGTGTTTATTGCAGTTATCTACCTCTGTCTCTCCTTTGTACACTGACTGTGCTGTTCACAGATGCTCGGGTCAAGGGGAAATATTCTTGAAAAGCTGTAGTGGAGGAACTGCCCCTGAGAAGCCTCATTCATATCTCCACCTGACTTAGATAACAAGATCCTGGGCTTCAAGTTGCTGCCTTAATGGGATGACATGCCGTGGGTCTTAGGAAGGAGTTGAGTTCATTTTGCATATGGAATGAACTGTGAACCCTGGTTGCTAGAAGACAGACTATGATATATAGTCTCCAAGAGAGTTGCTTTCAATTTCACCTTAACAGATGGAGCCTAATTCTCTTCCCTTGAACACGAGCCAGCCTTAATGACTTCCTTGATCAATAGATTGCAGCAAAAGTGATGTCCTGGGATTTCTCAGATAAATCTTAAGAAGCCTGGCAGCTCCTATCTAGACTTCTTGGGATGCTCACTTTGGAGACATTCCCTCTCAGAACCAAGTTCTGAGAGGCCCAAGCCACATGGAGAGAGGTCATGGGAAGGTATTCCAGATGACAGTCCTAGCTTAGCTCCTGGCTGACAGCCAGCATCAATTGCCAGGTATATTGAGCGAGCAACGTTGGAAGTTGAGTTCATTTGAACTTGTTTTCTGTTTTTTAATGTCTTTTTAATTCTCACCCAAGGAGGACATGTTTCAACAGAGGGAGAAAGAGAGAGAGAGAGAGAGAGAGAGGGGGGGGGGGGGGGGGAAAGAGAGATTAATTGGTTGCCTTCTGTATGCACCGAGAGAGAGAGAGAGAGAGAGAGAGAGAGAGAGAGAGAGAGAGAGAGAGAGAGAGAGAGAGATTAATTGGTTGCCTTCTGTATGCACCCTGTTTCCCTGTTTAGGGATTTAACCTACAACCCAGGCTTGTGCCCTAACAGGGACTCGAACTGGCAACCTCTCAGTGCACAGCATGACACTCAACCAACTGGGCCCCTCTGGCCAGACTCATTTGAACTTTCAGATGACTCCAGCCCCAACTTTCATCTGTAGCTATATGAGAGATCCCAAGGAGAAACCCCATCAATTAACCCGTGTCTACTCACAGAACCTTGAGAAATAATGAATTTACTTTTTAACTCATCAAATGTTGAGGTGGTTTGTTATGCAGAAATAGATGATCAAAACAGCTTTGTTGTTGTTGTTGTTGTCAACCTCACTCAAGGATATTTTTCCATTGAGAAGGAAAAACAGACAGAAAATCAATGTGAGAGAAACCAGGGCCCCGGGCCAGGGAGGAGCCTGCAACAAGGTACAGGTCCTGACTGAAATCGAACTGGGAATCTTTGGTCCTCAGACCAATGCTCTAGCCACTAAGCCAAACCAGCTAGGGCTATATCTTTCCTTTTTTGTTGGAATTTTTTGTGTGAAATGATAGTGATAGTAGTTGGGATTTGCCTTTTTTAATATCTTTATTGGGGGGGGGGGGGGGGCGGGGGGAGAGTATTAGCAAATGGCCCTAGCCAGATGGCTCAGTTGGGGGGAGCAAAAGGTGGTGGATTTGATTCCCAAACCGGAAGCAAACCATCAATGTTCTCTCTCACACCAATGTCTCTCTCTCTCCCCCTCCCTCCCTCCTTCCCCCCTTCTTTATCTGTAAAATCAAAAATATTTTATGGCCGGGACCGGTTTGGCTCAGTGGATAGAGCTTCGGCCTGCGGACTGAAAGGTTCCGGGTTAGATTCCGGTCAAGGGCATGTACCTTGGTTGCGGGCACATCCCCAGTAAGGGGTGTGCAAGAGGCAGCTGATCGATGATTCTCTCTCATCGATGTTTCTAACTCTCTATCTCTCTCTTCCTCTCTGTGAAAAATCAATAAAATATATTTTTTTTAAAAATGTTTTATGTTAGCAAACTATTTCAATTTCCAAATATTTACTGGTATTTGAAATCCCAAAGTGTGTGACCTACAGCACAGCTTCAGAGAGAATTCTAGATGGAGGGTCAGAGCCCAGAAAGGAGATCTATTGATAGGAGGCCCTCGGTTTCCAACATTGCCAGCCAGGTCACAGGGCACCACTGAGCAATTAAACAATTATCAACAATAAACAAAGGAACAAAGATTTATTGAGTACAAAACTACAAAGGAGAGTCTTCCTGGGCCCAACAGGCCCACGGCTGGGAGCAGAGAGCTCTGCTTTAGGGCCGGGCTGAGTAGCCCTGGAAGAAATCGTTGCACATGATAGTGATAGTGGCCAGGAAAATAGCATACTCCTGGAAGTCCACCTCCTGATCACTGTTCTCATCCAGGGAGCCCATCAGCTTCTTCAGGCCCTCCTCATCCACCTTTTCCTGAAAGCAAGAGAGAACGGGTCATCGCCAGGCCGCTCTCCACCCCACCTCCGCCCCAAACACACACTCATTGGCCAGAGCCCAGCTGTCCCTTCAAACTGGGCAGCAGTAAGTGGTGGCAGAGTCCCTGGGAACTATGAAGAGGCCCATGAGGGAGGACAGATGGATGCTCATTGGTGGGAGCCCTCAGCTCTCCCAAGTGGGAACGGGGAGCACGCCAGGCACCCCCTAAGTACAGGATCAGCTCTACTCCCCACAGGAGCCAGGCGAGAGGGACATCATCAGCCTCGTTTTGCTGACGAAGAAACTAGAGCTATTGGAGCCACTCTCCATCACCAGCAAGGAGAATTCAGAAAAGACAAGCTCTTTTTAACGCCAGCCAACATGAGATCAAATTTTAAAAATTGGACCCAGAAAAAAATATTTAAAGGAATGTAGGACCTGCTTCATAAGATTCAGAGCCCGAGACCTGACTTTGGGATTATCCAGTAGTTGGTATGGGGAGTGGGAGGGGCAAATTGAAAGTTGACTGCATTTCTCTGCCAATGCCTCAGGGTGCACGTCTTAACTGGATTTTTCTCCCAACACACCTCAGGTTGGCTTATAAATATTAAAAACAAGAGAGAGAAAGATTTGTTTGGTCTTGGCCAGCCACTTTCCCTCTCTGGCTCTGGTTTGTTCACCTCTCCAATGAGGGGGTTGAACAGATAGATAGACTTTGAAGACAATGACAGTACACCCATTCTCTGAAAAGCTGCATGGAACAGCCAATAAGAGGGCTCTCACATGTGGGCCTCACTTGCACTCCAGTGAGACGGTGAAGGGCCCAGCCTCACCCTGGTGTCTGCATCAGCAGGCACCCTGGAGGGAGGGAGAATAGATTTAACTGGTGCCCCTACTCTCACACACAGGAGCCTCCCGCCCTCAGCCAGCCCCACTTACCCCTACAAAGCTGGGTAGCTCCTTCTGCAGAAGTTCCTTCATCTCCCCCTTACTCAGCTTGAACTTGTCACCCTCCTTGCCAGAGTACTTGTGGAAGGTGGCCACCATCACAGCCAACGCCTGCTCCAGGGGACTGGACATCTTGGATCTGGGGCCAAAGGAGTGACAGGTGTTGGAGATGCCTCAGCCCCGCCTGCAGGACCCACTTCTGCCCTTGTGCCCCAAACCACCTCTCCCAATCCCTCTCTGAATGGGCAGGCAGGGGCTGCCTGGCCCCCTCAGACTGTGGCTCCCTCACACCGAGGGCAAATGCTAACCCTTCCCCTGTGTTTGGAAGTCACCAAGGGCAGAGCCTCGTGTCTCCTCTGATCACCCTTGGGACATACCCTGAGGGCAGGGTTCCCCACCATGAGTGTCTTTGGAAAGGGAAATGACAGGGTGACCAGAGTCCTATTTGGCTCCTTCCCAGGCCAGTGGACTCTGTGTCTACACTGGGGTGAATCCCTGAGACAGTTAATGGGGATTCACTGGACGAGGGCAGTAACCATGGCTATAGCCCAGCGGTCCAAGGTTCTCTGAGGAGTTGGTTCTGTCCTCAGGTGGGGCTCCTAAGGCCAAAGGATGTCACTCTCCCTGGAGTCTAATGAACAAAATAAACTGGTGAATAAAATAGAACCAGAATCATGAAAACATAAACACACTGACAGATCTGAGAGGGAAGGGGCCCAGGGGTTCGGGGGAAGACGTTAACCAAAGAATTTATATGCATGTATGCATTGCCCCTGGACACAGACAATAGGGTGGTGAAGGCCTGGAGCCTGAGCAGAACTGGTGGAGGGAGGTAATGGGAGGGGGACATCTGTAATGCTCTCAACAATAAAGATAAAAAGATAAATAAATTAAATAAACACATACTTTACAAAATTAAAAAAAAAAAAACCTAGCCTGGCTCAGCTCCCATGAACCAGGAGGTCATGGTTCAATTCTCCTCAAAGGCACATGCCTGGGTGTGGGCTCAGTCCCCTGTAGGGGGCATGCAGGAGGCAGCCAATCAATGACTCTCTCTCATTATTGATGTTTCTCTCTCACCCTCTCCCTTCCTCTCTGAAATAATTTTTTTAAAACACATTTTTAAAATGTTTTTAATTAAAATAAGTGGAAGCAACAACAAAAAAATTAAGTGGACGCTCCCTCAAGCAGAAATGATGTCTCCCTCATACTAGGTACTCTCAGAGGGTAAGGAATATGTCTCTCTTCTTATTGGGGTACTGGCTCTTTGCAGACAGGGCATAAACACCCTCCCCATCAGGGAGGATACCATTGGGTTTCGAACTAAAGAAATTAAAGTCCATTGCCCTGGGATCAGGGCAAACACTAGGGTAGAATCCGGGACACAAGGACAGACCTCAGAGGTCATTTTTCCCAAGGTCCTGCCTTTGAAAATGCTCAGACCAGCCCACGAGGGTTAGGCAGATCCCAGGATCAGGCCAGAAGAGAAGGGAAGAGAGGCAAAAAACAAAACAAAACAAAACAAAAAAAACAACCCGGATCAATCCTGCCAGCCTGCAGGTAATGGGGCAGGAAAGGACCGGAAGCTGTAGTGGGCAGAGCTACGCTGCTATTCAGGGCAGACCCCAGCAGGCCCACGCACTTGAGATTCCTGGCTCCTTACTCCGGCTACAATCCAGAACTTTGCAAACACACACACACACACACACACACACACACACACACACACACACAAAACCCTCAGGATTCCTGTTAAAGCACCCACATACAAACCCCTCATACTCCTAGGCCTAGACCTCCAAGAAGGGCCTCTAGACTAACACCCAGACTGAGAGACCCACAGGGGACCCCCCACTAAAACCCAAGAGAGGACCTCAGAATAACCCCTAAACTGGGACCGCACAGAGGAACTGGGGACGTAGAAATCAAACTGACACTTCACAGAAGAAACACCCTCTCCCCACCACAGGAGAGATGCAGAGAGGCCTCAGGCCGACCTACCAAGGAAGCCAGAAAAAGAAAACTGTAGGGGAAAGATCAGGACAAAGGGACAGAGGCAGAGGCCCGAGGGTCCTCCTCACCCAGCCCTCAGCACCACAGAGGTACTCACCAGACCAGGCTGCGAGAGAGACCGGGAAGGAAAGCAAAGGGCAAGGTGCTCGGAGTGGGGATTTATATGCTAGCCTCACTGGCCCTCGACGTGGCGTTTTCAGGAAACCAAACCTGCCTTAACCTGATCCAGCCAAACCTGGCCTCCAGCCAACCCCTCCCCATCCCACCTGATCCCCTCCCCCTCAGAGACTCTCAGCTCTGCCCCCAGCTGGAGGGAGGAGGGCTCTAGGTCCAAATGGCAGCCCCTGGGCCCACTCAGGCCACAGGGGTGTGTGAAGGGGGGTGTCATTGGAAAGGGGCAGCCTACGCCCAGGGTGAGGGGAGATAGCCGTTGTTTGTGGGGCCTGGAGACTCATACCAGGCCTTGTTCTCATGACATGCCTGTGAGTCACAGCTCATTCATGTGTCACAGGGTGCAGGCACACTGGACTTCACAAGCCCACTGAGATATGAGAAAGTGTTTGTGTATGAGAGAGAGAGAGAGAGAGAGAGAGAGAGAGAGAGAGAGAGAGAGAGAGAGAGGGTTTGAAGCAATCTGGGATCGCCCTTAGAAAGCTGCCCCCTCCCAGGCCCACTTCACCTGCTGCTCCTGATCTATCCCGAATCCAGTCTGGGCAACGCCCTTCCTGCCAGTCTGGGCACCGCCCTTCCTGCAGGCCCAGCTCCCCTCCCCCCTCCAGATGTCCAGCAGCTTCTTGCCCTCCCCCCAGCTCCCAACCTCCTCCCACTACTCCCCCCAGTCCTAGGTGACTCACCCTGCGGTGCAGGCCCAGATGCCCAGGCAAGTGACTCAGCAGCACCCTCACCACACCCCGCCCCCAGGGCCTGGGCAGCAGGCGGAAACTCCGTACCAGGAAGGAGAGTGTGGTACAGGGACCCTTCAGTGGCCAACCCTGCCGGGACTCTGGATTGCCACACCACAGAGAAGTTTGGAGAAGTTCAAACTGAAAACTGACTAGGCTCAGATGTGAAGCCAGACTTGTCTCTTCCTCAGGGTCACCTTGGTCCTTGGGGGCTCTATGGGCACCACAGATAGCATCATGCCTTGGAGCCAAATGTCCTCTTCTACACCTTGCACATCTAGTGTCCCCTCCTCCCCCAACACATTTGAACCTCCCATGCTACTGCCCTTCCTGTTCACATAGAGCTTGGGATAAAAATCCTTCACCTCAGTGTAATGGGGTAAGGAATGAATGAAGAAAAAACATGGAGCCCTAGCCAGTTTGGCTCAGTGGATAGAGTGTTGGCCTGCAGACCGAAGGGTCCCAGGTTCAATTCTGGTCAAGAGCATGTACTGTGGTTGCAGGCTCCTTTCCGTCCTGGACCTGGTCAGGGTATGTGCAGGAGGCAACCAATCAATGTGTCTCTCTCACATCAATGTTTCTCTCTCTGTCTTTCCCTCTCTCTTCCACTCTCTAGAAATAAATGGGAAAGTATCCTCAGGTGAGGATTAACAAAACAAAACAAAAAAAGGAAAGAAAGAAAACAACATGGAGTCAGTACGGCTAAGCTGACTTAAAATCAATTGTTTATAGTCAAGCTGACAAAACTGGTTCAGACCAAATGGGCTGAAGCATAAGCGATAAGATTAAAAGGCCTGAGGATGCTGAAACTGGTTTAGCTCAGTGGATAGAGCTTCAGCTTGCAGACTGAAGAGTCTCAGGTTCGATTCCAGTCAAGGGTATGTACCTTGGTTGCGGGCCCATCCTCAGTGCAGGGTGTGCAGGAGGCAGCTGAGTGATGTTCCTGGCTATCTGTTCCTCTCTGTGAAAAATCAATAAAATATAAAATAAATTTTAAAAAGCCTGAGGACTTAAGCTTTTTGATAGATCCTCCCTTCCTCCAACTGATGGACAGAGAATGACGTAAACTCCACCTGCAGCCAGACATTCCTGAGCACCTAACAAGGCACTTTATATGGACTGTACTTTGAACCACCAATCAGCACCTGCCAAATACCCTAAGACCTCAATTCCTAAGTCCCTAGGTCCCTAATCATATGCCTTACATCAGTGTTTCCAAACTTCTCTCATGATGAGAATCACCTGGTGGAGTTGTTGAACTACAGATTCCTGAATCCCAACTAAGAAGTGCTAAATTAGAATTCTTGGGAACATATAGGTAAAATTGTATACTTAGAGCACTAGTTAAGTATACAATTGTATACGTAGAGCACTAGTTAAGTATACAATTTTACCTATATGTTCCCCAAAATTCTAGTTTAGCACTTCTTAGTTGGGATTCAGGAATCTGTAGTTCAACAACTCCACCAGGTGATTCTCATCATGAGAGAAGTTTGGGAAACACTGCCACGAAACCACCAAAAAGCGTGTGCTGAGTGCCCTAAGCCCCGTCCCTTCTCTTTCCTCCCCTTAAAAGGTGCCTGCACCCGGCCCTCTTCCTCTTTCCCCTCTGGAAGGCAGCCAGCAGTGGTATTCTCCTTCAACAAAGCCTGTGTCCTGATCCCGGTCTCCGGCCCCTGTTTCATCTTTCACTTTTGAACTTTCCAGTTGTGCCTCAATGCCTGGAGACAAATACATTCCTACAGACAGCCTTCTGAAGGACTTAGGAAAGAATAAAAAACATAGGAAAGAATGTCCATGTATCCAGCCCACCTGACAGCCATTATCCAGAAGATTGTTGTCCCAGGCCAATCCGAAGGCTAAGAAAGAAGGACTGATTGTTCTCATGAGCGTACTTTTTCCTATTGGGACTCTCAGCTCTGCTTTCTTCTTCAGAGCTGTGGGGGATTGCCTCGTTGTGTTTTCTAGTTGCAAATTTAAAGACCTTGGAACAAACCTTTGTCCTCTATTTCTACCCCAAGCCTCCCGACCCTTTTGTGCTCAGCAGGTGCAGTGCATTGTTTTTCTCAGCGGTTCTCCCATTTCCACTGAGGACTTTTGCAGATGCCTCTCCTGCTCGGAAATCACAGTGGTGTCCCCCTTGCCTTCCATGAAGCCCAGCAGGAGGTGCTCAGGCTCTCGTCCTCACCAGCTTTCTAGCCTCTCTTGCACATACCC